GTGATTCTTTGAGTAATTGTCTTAGTTTTATTTACCCTTTGAGATTTTATTTGAAGCTACGAAACCCAACGTAACAATGTATTTCCTTTTAGGCTAATTATATAATATCATCATCATTTAGAATATCTTCAGTTAAAATTTCTTCTAATTTCTGAAAATAATCAGTCAATACATTTTTTAATAAAGCATTATAAGGATAATTATTAAGTTTTTCAATTTTTTCTATTATTTGATTAATTTTAACTTCTTCATAATCTGCTGAATTTTATTAAATTTGTATTACATTACCTATATCTTTATTAATTAAAGAAAGCAAAATTCTGGTCTTTTTTTAATAATTGTAAATAGTTTTTTCAATTACTTACTTCTATGTATCTATTTAATAATTGATTATTTTTTAATATTGATTTTTTCTTTGTAAATATTTTTTCCATTTTTAAATAGGTTTAATATATGATAGCAAAATTTCTCTTATAATAGTTTTTAAAGCTTATAATGATCCCAGTATCAAGTAACTGAAGATGGTTTGTAGTATTAGAAGATAAAAAGGCCACCTCAATATGAGTTAATTGAAGTTAAAAGATATTAGAACTATCACAACCTTTACTGTGACTATTACTATAATCTCTACTTGATTCATCACTATGGCCCCTACTATGACTACTATCATGACCTCTACTTAATTCATTATCATAATCTTTATCATAACCTTTAGATCTACTTGATTTACCATCACAGCCTTTATCACAACCTTTAGATCTACTTGGTTCACCATCACTGATATTAATATTAGCTTTAGCATTAGTATTAGCTTTAACATTAGTATTTATTAGCTTTAGCACTAAACATTAGTAGAATACTAATATTGACTTTAATTCTAGTATTAGTTTTAGTAGCATTAGAATTAATTCTAGCATTAACTTTGGTAGTATTAATAGTATTAGCAGTAATGCTGATATTGATATTAGTATTAAAATTAGCATTGGTGATGGTAGTGGCATTAGCATTGATATTAGTGACATTTTCTTTTTAATAAATAAATAAAATTTAGATATTTTATTTGGATTTTAATTAGAATATTAAAAAATAAAATCTTTGGTATCTAATGTTCCATCTGTTATTTTTTAAAATTTGCTTATCTTTTTAAATGTTATAATCACATTTATATTATAGATATTTTTTTATACATTCTTTTATTAGCCAATTATCTTCCCCTATTTGTATATTTTTTATTTCTTTTTTTTGCTATTAAAAAAATTCAAAATAATAATTAATATTTTTTAATTATTAAATAATTATATATAATATACTTTTTTAATAAC